ACTCTCACAAACCTATTGGTCTCGCATATGCTTAGCTTTCACCTTTTGGCCAGAAAGATAACTTTGGCACCAAATGACCTCTCATATATCAAACAAAAGAGTCGTGTCTTAATGCATTGTGGGGTAGAGCCTCTTCTCTGTTCTGTACAAGAACATCATTTGAGTGATTTGCATTAATTATTATTTGTTTCTTCCTACTTGCCTTCATTTGGTCAGGGAATCACGTCACGAAAGTCCTTCTCATCAACAACACGAGAATTGACTGAAGAGAAGCACTTTTTGGCGGCTCTTCGCTTAAAGGGCATGCTTGATGCCTGTGAAAGTTTCATTCATTGTTCTCCCCTCCGCATTCATAGCCCCATGATCCATGTAAAACTAAAACATAAACCAAACACTTCGTCAATAATATATCATGAACAATTTTACATATATGTATACGTAACGTAAATCTAGTAATTAATACAATTTTTTATTATTGTTCAACTGTTTATAAGGTGATATTAGAATTGTTTTTCTCCATGGGGGATATAGTATCTTAATATAATAGTGATATGATAGACACAATGATATAAACCAAAACTGTTCGGAGACTCACGGTGAATATAATCTCAACCAATAGTAAAGGGATTTTGTGAGAGCACGAGGGCTCTAAGGAGGTATTTTAGCAGAATAACAGCTATGGAATTATTGTGTAGAAAGTATACTGAAGAAAGTATATATAGATGAAAAAATTCTCCTGAAGAATGAGAGAACGAGTCATAATCGTTTTTTTCTAATAGGTAATACTACATATGCACCTAATTTTCTGTACATCTTTTCAATTAAAATTAAACAACAAATACCAATGTTGACATATAATAAAGAAAAATAGGATTTCAAATACATCTGTTAGATTTTAAATGGAAGTAATATGTACTACTGATATACCAAAGATGAGCTCTCTCTATAGGTGTGAGGTAAACACACTTCCATGAAGAGTGAGGTGTGAGCTATGCTCTGCATGAGAGTGAGACCATGTATAATGAGGGTTAAAAGTATCATTTTAAGAATATAAGAGAGTGACCCCTTATATGGATCCAAATGGTTGGACCGAACTGAACTAGAGAGGCATTTCCAGAATAAAGTTATGTATAATATTAAATATATAATATAAAATTATGGGTTAAATGTATATCCTTTTAGCTTTTAATATTACATCTTACCAGTTAGACATAATTATAATATGAAAATTTGTTCTTTTTCTCTCTCTAAGTCAACTGAAGTAATTGAATTGAAGAGAAAAAAAAAAGTAATTTTTCATATTATAACTATACTTACCGATAAGATATAATAGTGTTAAACATTATAAAAATACAAGATTATGTCCTTTAAAAGCAGAAACTTTTTTCCTTAAAATTATTCATATACCTTTAACTAATAACTTAAACTTTTACGAGAGATTCATATCATATAACATTATCCATATCATATAACATTATCCATAAAATAATAATAATAATATTAAATGGAGAGTTTTCTTTAAAACTGCTTCATCATGTAGAATGGCTTATTATTATTATTATTATTATTATTATTATTATTATTATATCAACAAAAACACAGGGGCCGCATGTCTTGAGCTCAACATTTTATCAATTGGTGACAACGATGCCAAATTAATGTTCACAAGTTAGTTAGAACTAACTTAAATCATAAGTTGTGAGCATTGTTGTCAGGTTTGCTGGCTTTAGGCGCCTATTACAACCTCCCTCCTTCTAGGCCATTTTCTTTTGTGGGTTGTCATCATCTTTTGAGCAAACATCAAAAGCAATATTTTAGAGTTGTTAATTTGGCGATAATAATCAAAACTATTCAAAGTACTTGAAATGCATGTTTGGTGTTCTAGATTGCTTTAGGTAGACAAAAGAATGTGGAATCATGGTTGTGTCAAAAGGCAATTATGTTGTTTCAAGTTGGGCTATGTGGGTCACGTACAGCAAAAAATACCTGGCCCAATTTGAGAGACTCCTAATACAAGTTGTTGTTGTTGTTTTCCAAATGAGTAAATTTACATGTACTTGTTTATCTTCAACATGTTTTTGTTTAATTGTCCTTTCCCTTACAATTTCATTGGTCAATAATGGCAGTCATTGATGAACCTAACTTGGTTCACCAGAAAAACCATGTGCTTTATGGCACCAATCAATTAAATATTAATGGTGGATTAGGTGGTCAAGTAATTCGCACGAAACAATACCCACATTATAAAAGTCAAATCTTGTTTGAGACAATAGCTTATGCCCAAAGATCTTATCGTCACTCAAAGCAAAACTTTGATTTTTATAACACTAAACGTTAATGTTAAACACTAAAACATATGGCAATGGCACGAGTTAATACACAAAAGGGTCCCAAAAGGTTAGTCTATTTATTAGTTTTATGGACTTGATACTCTAAAAGTCAATTTTGAAGTTTTTTTTCCCCAAAGCCAGCTCTACCAAGTGTCGGTGAATAAAACAACGGTGATGTCAAGTTATTATTCCAGCTTTCCAAAGAAAAAGAAAAAACGTTATTAGTTCAGGATTCAGGAGATAGCACTTAGTTGATGGATGTTTCGATTATTTTAAAAAACAAAAAACACATTTTTATTGGTGTTTCAATTATTATTATTATTATTATTATTATTATTATTAACGTACCATTGCTTAAATCAATTATTTTCTCAACCATCGAAAAGCTGGCAAAAGTTATTAAACATTATGTTGATCCAATCTTGAATTTCTAATCGCCATGTGTCAATCTCGAATCGAATACTTATAGTTTAATTCCATTTAATCTTACTAGTTTAGTTCCTCATTGGCTGAATATTTTACTTTACTATTGGTTGAAAAATACTTTTTTAAATCTAGGACAAAGTTCAAAACTCTCATAGGGTATTGATTTGAATCACTTTCTATGTTTTTTTTAATCATCTAATTCTCTGTGATTTTTTTCATCCACACCCCTCTTTAATACCGTTAAAAAAACTAACTAAGGAATAAGGATACATATTCTACTCTTCTTAGAAAAAGAAAATAAAGTAATAAAGAAAAAAGAAAATAAGATCAAATCTTATGAAAACTTATAACCTCATCTGCACGGACACGCAAATTTGCATGTCGGATACGTGTCCGACACGGACACGCTTCGACACGCTCGGACATGCGTCCGACACGTGATCAACATTTCGGGACACGCGGTCAACATTGGGGGACATGCTCGGACACTTTTTTTTTTTAAATCTTAATTTTATTTTGTTAACTAAATATAAAAGAAATAATTTATAAATTAATTTTTTCTATTATGAAATTTGACATTAAAAATTAACAAAGTACAAAAAAATTATTTATATTTATGTTATGAAATTTAAACATTTGATTGGTTATATGATTTAGTATGGACTCTTATATGTATTAAATATAAATTATATTATATATATTAAAAATTTTATTTAATATCAAAACGTGTCCCAATGTGTCAAAATATGACATTTTTTAGAATTAACGTGTCGGCGTGTCGTGTCATGTCCCGTGCCCCGTGTCCGTGTCCGTGTCCATGCATCGTAGCTTATAACACTTGAAAAATAGCAAAAGAAATCAAATGTTTTATGTGTCTAAATAAAAATAATAATGCAAAAAAATAGATTAAGAATAAAAATAATAAGATCAAATATATTAAAAATCACAACAGTGACAGAAAAAATTAAAATTAAAAAATAGTTTAAATGCGAAAAAAATAGTGACGACAAAAAAATAGAAAAAAAAATTAAAATAAAAAAATAGAACAAAAAAAAATCACAGTTATCAATTTCTAATATATTCGCTTTTATTTCATTTCTAGTTTTTTATCCTTGGTCTATTTATTCTTTTTATTAGGATACATTTGATCTTTTTTATATTTCTATTTTATTTTCTCTCTTTTTTTATTTTTTTTTATGAAAAATTTTAGTAGATGGGGAGAAATAAGGCTAAAAAAATTGAGGAGAAAATCAAAATAAAATAGACCAAATACATTTAAATAAAAAAGAATAAAATAAAACTAAGTAAAAATCATTTGATCCAATCCTTTCGGTTTGATCACGTAATCATCCATTCGGTTTGGATTTTTTTTCAAATCCAATCCAATCCAAAAAAAATTCGGTTTGGATTGGATCGATTTTTTTTAAAATCCTAAAATTTGTTTCATGATTATTGTGCAAATAACATCTTTTGTATATATTGACTTTGTAATTATTATTTTTTTGAAATATAAAAGTATCAGTAAACGATAATATATATTTTTTTTTTTTTTTTGCAATGAGATATGAAGCTCTACAGAGATGAAATTTTGTTGATGAGATGTGACTAGGTTTTTTCTTGGGTTTAGTTGATAGGTTAATGGGTCTTGGGTTTAGAAATTTTTGGGCTATGATTGAAAAAAAGCCCAAATAAGTAAAGAAGAATTAATATATTGGATCGGTTTGGATTGGATAGGTTTTCATCAACCAATCCAAAATCGATCCAATCCAATTAAAATTTACAATTTTTTTTCGATTTTCAATTTATTCCGTTCGATCACTGCAGTTTGAATCAGTTTGGATCACTTGATGAACACCCCTACTGATAAGTGATTTCTTTTTATTTTATTTTTTATCTTAATGTTTTCTTCTAATTTTTTGTCTTTTAATGTATTTTTTTCATTTGGATTATTATTATTTTTTAATTTTAATCTTTTCTGTCACTATTGTGATTTTTAATATATTTAATCTTATTTTATCTTTTTTTGTTCTTATTCTATTTTTTTATACATTTTTTTTATTTTGACACATTTGACATTTTTTTTACTATTTTTTTTTATCACTTTATTTTCTTCTTCTTAAAAGGATAAAATATATATATATATATATATATATATTCAAAGCAATACCACGAGATTTTTGAACTTCTCTCTTAAATCTATTAAGTAAACTTGTTAGAAAAGATTTGAGGTATAAATGAGCTGTGGTTTAGGGTCAAACCAAACCAAAAACTCATGGTTTTGATTCGAGTTAAGCCATAAATGGTTATCAAACTAAGTTTAAAACACACCTACCAATAAGCCTTCACTCATTCGTCAAGTTTATATAAAGTTTGCGGATGCCTCTAACATCTCAATCTTCTTCATAAGGACTAAGGAGTGAATGTTAATTTACAGGAATGGTTGTGTTATCCACAACTTCAATCATCATGGTATTTAGAGAAGCTCCCACTCAGGTTCAGAGATACTACTAGTAAGCATTAATTTCTTTTGATCCTTCACTAAAGTTGGATCTATATTCTCCATGCAATCTCCCTTCACTTTTTCACTGTTCCCATGCAATGCTGCAAGCTCCTCATACTCTTGTTTTCTTGAACACTTCTTAGATAAAGAGAACCCTTGCCGCTTCTTTTTCTTAAAACAGAAAAAACACTTCAGTTAGAGGTGAAAATGAATGTGTACAAAATAAAGAGGAAAGGGGAAGGAGTGTGTGTGTGTGTACCTTGTTAGTCTTTAGATTACCACCTGCTTTGGGAACTGATTGAAGTTCATCTCCGGTCACCATGACACAAGTTTCATCAAGCTTAAGATGATCTTGTTGCATGGCTTTATGGCCTTGGTCTATTAACAGTATCAATCATTGTTACATGGAAACTTAAATGTAATTGGAATGTCTTAAATAATAAATAATAAAAAATATCAGTTACCATGACATTTTAAAAAGAAAAAAACCACAAGGGCATATATGATAAAAAAATATACTCTTTTGCAAACCACAAGGGCATATGTGATAAAAAAAAACACAGGGGCATAGGTGATTATGGAGTAAACCACAGGGGCATTGGTAAACTTTTTCTTAAAAAGTATCAGTTACCATGAAATTAGAATAACATGCAACTGAATGACTTAATACTATCAGCTTATATGTGCCTAAGCACGCAAGAGAACGGGATTATACAAAGAACCTCATGTCTACATACTTGAGAAAAAAAAAATCTATTTCAAACAGGTTTTAGAGTAACAGCATTTAGATATGCTCATGCAAACTTCACAAAACAAAAATAAACTTCCCATTTCAATTCAAAATGCATTTTTTATTGCTACCAAAAAATTTAGTTATGTCATGTGTTAAAAAAAATATTTAAGTCTACACATGTTCTATAAAGAAAGCAGTGTTGTTTCGGGAAAGAACATATTGCACTAAATATATATATGCAGTAGAGAAAACATTTTCTCGCCTATTAATGAGGAGGCTATAACACCAATGTCACGGAACCTTCACAAGATAAAAGATGGAAAAAATAGGTGAAGATTGTAAACTAGCAGAGGGTTCTGCAATAAAATTCTAAATAATGGACGAGTATGCAACCAACTGGTAAAAACCACACACAAATTTGAGTCACAAAGGGAATTGGAAAAATAACTAATATAATTAAAAAACAAAAAAGGTGGAGAAATTGATGAGGATGTAAATCATAGAATCAGAGCAGAGTGGATGAAATGACGCAGTGCATCTGGGTTTTTGTGTGACCGCAAAATCCCCCTTAAGTTAAAAGGAAAATTCTATAAAACAGCAGTAAGAGACCGGCAATGCTATATGGAGCGGAATGCTGGCCAGCACATAGGCAACATGAGCATAAGATGGGAGTAGCAGAGATGAGGATGTTAAGGTGGATGTGTGGTTATACAAGGATGGATAAGATAAAAAATGAAGATATTCGACGAAAGGTAGGAGTAGTACCGGTAGCCGAAAAGATGAGAGAACATAGATTGAGGTGGTTTGGGCACGTGATGAGAAGGCCTCTGGATGCTCCTATCAGAACAGAAGTTTGTTACCAAGAGCTCAACACAAAAAGAGGCAGAGGTAGGCCAAAACTTACTTGGGGAAAGGTAGTAAAACAAGACTTAATGGAGTGGGATATAGATTGACGGACGGTATGTCTTAGAACGGAATGGAGAAAAGCTATAAGTATGGTGGAGGGTTAGATCCGTTGTTATTCCTATGTTCCAGATAGTCCCTTTTTAGTCCTTTTCCCCTTAATTTTCTCCACTTCTTCTTTTGCCTTTCTTTTTTTACTTTTATTTATTTATATATACATATATATATATTACTACTTCTCGTTTTTTTTTTTTTTTACAACCGTTTTGTATCTTTCATGTGGGTTCATCTACCACCGACCCCAATTAACTTGGGATAAAGGTGATGTTGATGTTGATGTTGTTGAATTAAAAAACAAAAAACAAATCAATTCAATGCTTGTCTGAATTCAAGTGATGAAGAGGGATTAGCATTTAAGAACCAGCAAAGGTTTAGGGACTAGCTCCCAAAGAACATAAATTTATTTAAATTGATTGGTAGTAACCTATCTAACGCCCACAAAAAGGGGAAGAATCAAATACATGAAAGACCTAACAACATTTAAGCATGGTTCATGCCAATGTTTTAAATTGGTCCTGGCTTGAAGAAAGAGAGGTGATAAATTCATCAAAATAAATAACCAAATTCTGCCCTTTTGAAGGGCATGAGGTCCTTTCTGCAAACTTTTTCATTTCGATAGAGAGTAGCTTTGACATATACAGAAAAATGAAGCGCAAAACAAAAACTCATGTCACCTACACCTAATCCCCAAAACCTAATGTACATGTTCCAACAAAAGAACAATCTACATGCCTACTTCCTAATTTCATATGGAAAAGCTGAATGAATTGCTACCACCTTTATCCCTAAAGCCACCGCCGCGATTCAGTTTTCTAAGGTTTCTAAGTAGAACAACAATCAATCCTTATACCTATCCAAACTGGGGATTCACAAGTGAAAGCAAAATGAAAATTTAGCTCTTTAAAAATAAGTAACACTAATCAATGAATAGAAAAGGATATGCAAAGCATGCCAGTAGGCCAGTTAAAACTTAAAGATGATTTAAGTAACTTCCTTTTCCATTCAGAAGAATTTCATTTTAAATGAAAAAAGCTCACTTTCCACAAAATAATTGTTCGGACCTCTCAAATACAGCGTTACAGCCAAACAGGGATGTCTCTTAACTATTTTCTTTTCATGCAACATTTGCAAAAAGCAACCAGCACCGTGATACACTTCAGAGTGATATATATTAATACCTATAATAAGTGTTTCCGAGTGATTTGAATCAATAACTACAGTCAGTAACTACTTCAGAATGATCTGAATTAATACCCGGGTGAGACAGAACCACCATGCTATCAGAACAATCATCCGACTGTATTGTTTTATCCATGGAGAAACCTACCAAAGAAACAATACACTTACTAAAAAACCCATCAGAAGTCAAAAGTGATCAACCAAAAACAATGAGGAAAAATCTGAAACCATAACCAAGAGATACAGAAAACTCACCAACGGACTCTCCAAATGGGACATGAGAGGAAGAACTCGTATTAATCTGTTTCTCTTCAGCTGATTTATCTAGTACCGGAATATTGGGGAATAGTTTAGTACTAGCATTTTCAATTTCATTACAACAGTCTGCTACAGAGGCAAGCCTTGAAGCTGGCTCTGAAAAACTAATTGCACTATTTTGATTTTGATTATGATTTTCTTTTGAGATCTCAGAAGGTTGTGATGTCCTGCATGTATCTGTTTCTGCCAAAGTGATTTCATCGAATATCTTTGTTGCAGCCATTTTTTTATTTTCTTGATTTTTACAGAAACCAAGGTTTGATTTAATATCCCTACTCCCAACATACTGTCTTGAATGTGAAATAAAATTGCTTCCTTTGACAGAATTTCTTGAAGATGACATGAACGAAGCATCAGTCTCACAAGTTACATCATACGATGCAGCATGGATGGCATCATTATCAACATTTTGATGAATCCTTGAATCCTCAGTTGTTTGCTTGGTGTCAGCCTTTGCAGATCTTTTCTTGAGAACTTGAAATGGTTTCTTACAGAACCCAGCATCAGTATATTGATCTATTGGCAATTCGGAGTCTACCTTTTCATCCAAATCACATGAAGATGGAGGAAGTAAATCTTGCACAATATCTGAATACAACTTTTTAACACTTGTCCCAACAGCCAGCATCTGATTCTCTATGTATTTAACTGTGTCCTACACCGAAAGAACAAATATATATAAGGAAGATTGCCAATTAATGGCAGGGTAGGGAACTATCAGTCCCCAAAAACTTTAACTCACTACTGGTAAAAAATTGAGATCATATACAAAAAGGCTTTCAGAAAGATTATCATAGATAAGACAAATATAAGAGCACAGTTGCATTCAATACTCAAATCATTAATCAAGGAAGTCAAAGGAGAAAGATGATACGTATCGCAAGTAGAGTGGGGTCAAGCAACACTCAAAGTTGCTGACTGATTACGTGGCATTGTTGTAAGGGATTAAGCACGTGTGTAAATATAGAATGTTTAGGTCAGAATGTTGAGGTCAGTTAGGTGGTTAGTAGGAGGGGAGTTTGTTACAATGTTTTGAGTCAATAACAGTGCATGGCACCATGCATGTAGAATATAAGCAGAGAGAGAGGTGAGAGAATGGTCTTGCAGAATCATTTTATCAGTAATAATACGTTCAGTTGGAGTTCATTTTTCAATAGGATCTGTGATCCTATGATTGGTGCTTTCATTGTTCGAACCTTCTTCACCTTCGTCTTTTGTACTCCATAGAGATGAGGGTACAGGAGTTATTAGAAGAATTCAACACATTCCAATTGCGTGTGGATCAAAGAATTGATGAGACGCAGGCACGTAATCATGATCAGTTCTTGCGTTTGGAGGGAAGGTTGGATAAAAATCAGATGCGAATTTCTTTGTTAGTAGCTTAGATGCACGAGATGCATGCTGTAGTGATGGCAGGAGACGCACGCCATCGTGATGTTAATAGAATGGCGCAAAGTGTACCCATCGTGGAAACTTCAATGTACTTGAATGGTGTGTCTCAACCAAAGAATCCGGAACAGAGACCTTTGTCTAGTTTGTTCGCATGGAGTTACCTTAATTTGAGGGTTCTGATCCATATAATTGGATCTTTAAAGCAGAACTACTCTTTAACATTCATCAAGTTCCTGAAGAGTACAAGGTGCAAATCGTAGGGGTGAAGATGGAAGGCATGGCTGCTTTAAGGTACCAGTGGATTGTGAGGGAGTAATGTTCGTTCTTGGCAGCAGTTTACTCAAGCCCTTTTACAGCGTTTTGGGGCTTCTTCGTACTCAGACGTTAAAGGGCGCTTGTCAAAGCTTTCGCACGAGGGAATGTTGCAGGATCACATTCAACAATTTTGTTGAACTTGGTAACCGGACTTGCAGATGATTTAGTGATGAGTTTTTTCGTCTCAGGCCTCAAACCAAAGTTGCAGAGTGTGGTGCAATTGAATGAGCCACGATCTTTACATCAAGCTTTGAAATGAGCTTTAGCTTATGATGACCATCACACTGAACTTCGCCAGTCTTTTGGATTGTATCAAAGACTCTTAGCGATGAAAAGTGTTACGGGGTTTGAGTACACAAATGCAACTTTGGCAACAATTACAAATTCTACACAAAGTTTAGCTTTACCAGCTTCATCAAATGTGAAACAGTTAACACATGAACAACTGTAGAAGAAGTGTGAATTGGGGCTGTGTTATAATTGTGATGAGTGTTGGTCTGCAAAGCATTAATGCAAAAGTAAACTCATGTTGTTGGTACAATGAAGAATTGGCAATCAGGAGGTGGTGCATCTGAGAAACAACATTGCATTCTTTAACAGAGGAGTCTAGGGGACGTTCGTTAATCTTTGTAACAGAATGGGGAGGTAAATCAGTTTCGATCTTGTTGACACAGGGAGTACGCATAATTTCATTAATAGAGAACTAGTTGTAACGCTCAAATTGCCAATAACACGCACCAAAAAATGCGAGTTTTCTAGGGCAGTGGCGAATATCTGTGCTGTGACAAGAAGAGTGCTAAAGTGCAGCTTAAACTACAAGATACAGTATTTGTGGTAGACTTGTGGATATTGGAACTCAGTAGATTTCTCTGATCCTATCAAAAGACAACCATAATGTGCTTGGGGGGTTTTAAAGCATTAAGGCGAGAGGTGCCAAAAAGTGCACACCACACTGAAGAAAGGAGTTTAACCTTTGAAAATGAACAAAAAGCCTCATTTGTTAACTAATTTGCATTAATTTTCCATATAAATTAGGCATAACATTCATTCATTGTAAAAGTAAAACATATGTTCAATTTACAAAATCCTAAGCTATAGTTTTTTCCTTAGCGTTCTGATCATTTAACCCCCTTTAACATTTAGACTATTTTACTAACCTGAACAAGAAATGCTTGCTTCATGCCTAACTAAAGGGCTGACCCCTTTCGGTGCCGGCCAGATGCCTTTGACTACACTTCTTAGAACAATAATTACAGACAATACTACTATACTAGGGACATAAAAGCCAGAAAGGAAGAAAAGTTGCAGCTTTACTGGTAGCAGTGCAGAAAGTAAAACATAAAATTTTAGTTATTCAATCACAGACATGTATAACAAGCAATGGCATGTGCACTAGGGTATTTGAGATTTCAACCTAAATCAATGTATATGGGATAGGTTAAGGTTAAATGACAACAAAGGTATACCTCGTACATCATGTCTTCTGCCTCAAGGCACAAATTCTCAAATTTCTGGTACATATTTCCAACCCAATTTATGCCTTTTACATCCATAGTGATCATAATATCCTTTTTAGAATAGTAATTTCTCCTGATATTATCTTATTTGAGTAAGGTTACAATTCCTCTTGCCTCAACTTCAAGGTGGTTCTACCCGATTATCTGCAAGAAACCAGAAAGGAAATTGATGGAAAACATCAGCATCAACCAAAAAGTACATTGATCAGGGAATGTCATCACACATCACAAAGACATAAAATGAATTGCAGATGAATTCCAGCCCATAACACAATCAGATATCACAAGACACAAGCATCCATCCAAAATCCCAAGCAATAATGAGAAATCAATTAAACAGGCCATTACCTAATAATAATGCAAAACTTAAAACCACAACTTCCCATAGTCCCACTTGGTACCTACAAAACAACAGGACCAGCCTATAACTATATCTTAAACCATACCAGAATCTTCAAGTAATTTACCACACATAACCCTGAATATTTAACTTCTTTATCCTAAACAATCCCCAGCTTCTACCACAATCCCCAGCTTCTACCCCCAGGGACCTCTTCTCTCTCATCAACAAAGAGAGAGAAACAAAAACAATAAGTGAACTTTAACTTTCCTTAATCAAAATTACCATATACAAATCACTGAAGCAAAGCAAGAGGAAAAATTTGCCTAAGGGACGGCTGAAATTAAAATTAACACACACACACCAAATTAAATTAAACACAACAAAAAAAGTAAAAAGAAAAGAGAGAGAGAGAGAGAGAGAGAGAGAGAGAGAGAGAGGGTACAACACAATAACTACAAAAAATAGCTAATATGTCAACAAAGAAAAGAACTTTTGATCAGAAAACAAAAACCCATTTTGAGTATGAAGTAAGAGGATGGCTGGTTTGATCATGGAAAGGATCAGAGCTTACTTGTTCCTGAGAAAATTAGAGAACACCCATCAACCACAAGCAGGAGGAGTCATTCCATACCCCAATTCCTTAGCGTTTTATGACTTGTGAAGAAGGGTACGGTACGAGGAGGAAGATAGAAAGTAAACGCAAGCACAAAAGATTCAGCTTCTTCTGACCCTATGTTGCACACGTGTACCTCATTCCTATGTTCTACTTGCTAACTAGGACGTTGTTATTATTCTTATTTTATTCCTAAGTTCTGTTCTATGTACGACATCCCCATCCTTCTTAATGTCTGTTACTATGATTTTTATCATAGACAAATACAAACAATTGTATAATTAAAATGTAAGGAATTATGTTATCAAAAAAAAAAAATGTAAGGAATTAAAATCTTTTATTGTGTGCTCACTTATGGTATTTATTTATTGACTTTAATGTTTTCCTACAGAAATATTAAGTATTTATGTTGGATTTATTTATATGATTAGAAATTTCCAATTCATTTCTTTTTACGGACTCTTTCGTTAAACTACATAATATATATCGCATAAAGTTTTGGGGAAAGGGTGTTTAAGTTTGTTTTTAAATTACCATAATAGGTAAATTTAAAAATGGAAACAGTTACACCCCAAAAAAAAAAGAGTAGAAATAGAAATTAGTTTCTCTTTGATCGAATAGTAATATAAATTAGATACTTTTTGATTACATTGTAGAGCATCCAACGAGTTAGTTGAGACGGCTGATTTTTTAAAATAATATATATTTCTTTAAATATTATTGTACAGTCTTAGTATTGATTTAATTTTTTAAAATAATACAATCTTAATACTGGTTGGATTCTTTTACCTGACTGACACTGACTAAAATAATACAATCTTAATAAACAAAACCATTCATTAATAGATATTTTGGTGCACAATTAGGGCAAAAAATTATAAATGAATTTAGTAGAGGTGGCAACGAAGGAAATCCACCTTGTTCGGTTTATAAAAATGTGTTGAAAATTTTAATTTATTTCACTTTATCATAGCGAGTCAACTCATACAAAGTGAAAAAAAATAAAAAAATGAATTGAGTGAGATATTTTAATTAAGAGGTGAGATCATTTGACACCAGTGTTAAATTTGAAGTTTGACATCTCATTTAATAGTCGTTAGATAAAAAAAGATCAATGGTGTCACATGTTTACAAATCAGAGTCGTTGATCTTTTTTGATCTAACGGCTATCAGATGAGGTGTCAAATTTTAAATTTAACACTTTTCTCTTTAAAAAAAATAAAATATATTACTGTAAACACAAGCAAACTACCCTTATAAACTCTCAAACATAGCATTACATTTTCAACCATCAAACATAACATTGCTATAAACCTTGTGTCCTTATTTCATTTATAATTCCTTTACTTTTACTTTGGTCATCTCTCTTTCTTTCTTTTTTTAATGTAAAAAGAACATTTTTGAGACCAAAAATGCCTCTATCAAATCTTGATTTTGGATTACCCACCAAGTTGGATAACATGCACCGATGGGCCTTGAAGCAGATAGCTTTAACGTAGAACCACGACAAAGAATATTGTCCACATACCCTCCTAATACGTTCCCATATCCGGGATTGCACTATTGTCTACTTATCTACGTTTCCTTTACCTTCTAAACCCTTCTTCCTATTCTTGATCCTATACTATTTTAAGGCAACAAGAAACCAAAGCATAAAACAATGACATAAAGCAACTAGTAAGAGGTAGGAAAAAGCCAAAGATGTTGGATAAGACAAAGTTAGACTTATAGGAATGGCTATCCATATCCATGTTCGAAAGAATTAATGTTAGCATTGCATCCAAAAGATAGATTGTTGAATTACATAGGGAATCAAATCAAATGAAAAATAATAATAATAAGGTAAGAGGGAGGGATATTTCTAATATCAATAGCCCCCATTGCAACATATGGTGTTGACAATATTATACATCTACCAGTTTCAGACATTTTCCCCCCAAGGCCTTAACTATCTAGCCAAGAGATGTTTTGTTCATTAGGACACAACACAATAAATGCATTAGTTAACAGCTACCATGCTTGAAGCCAAACTCATGAAGATGTTTATATACCAAAAAGTTAAAAATTAAAAAAAATCTCAGAGATGTTTCATTGAGGCACAGTTGCTGTTATTGTTATGTGTCTGGGGTCGGTAAGAATTGATGTTATGTTCACAAAACCAACTTCCCTCAGTGTTTCCTCCACATCAGTCAGGTAGTACTCGTCAAGAAAGGGTTCTGTGCTCTTCATCAACGTAAACAGGACTGGAGACAATTCCTACAAGACATAAAAGATAACAAAAAGAAGATGTTTGATGATGATGTTCCTACATGGATAGCAATATACCATAAACTACAGGGAAAGCCGTTCTATCAGATTCAGATCTATAAAATCTTTTTTCATTCTGATTCCATCTACATGAAAAGCATAGGCAATATTATGAGTTCTGTTACTGGCTAATTAATCTTCAACATAATCACAACTATGCTTCTAGTAGTAGGTAATAATTTAATTCTTTGCTGCAAATCTTATTACCAAAACTTAGTTATGAGGATCACAGAAAAGATTCATAATTTTATAAGTATTAAAATATACAATTAAAGGTAACCCGTATTGATGTTCTGGAGCGCTCAAAATTACCAGCATATTTTCCACTTAATATTCTTCTTTCAGGAAATTTAACTCAATTACTAACTGTAAAGAACCAATTCAACCCAAAAGCTTAAGTTGTTGGGTGAGACTACATTTATGATTTTATATATCTGAACACACCCCTTCACACGAGAGCCTATTGAACTTGAAGGGTGGATAATGCAAAGGTCCACCTACCTATGCTAAGAAATTCCACAAGAGAAAGTGGAGGGCAGTGAGGATCAAACCCGAGACACGAGGCTCTGATACCATGTAAAGAACCAATTCAACTCAAAAGCTTAAGTTGTTGGGTGAAGCTACATTAATGGTTTTATATATCTCAACAAAATAAATGGTAGCTCACTATTGTAAATATTTGTTATTTTATTATTATTAGTATTTGTTGTATTGGGCCAAACCCATTAGGTCAAGTATTAGGGTTTTCATTCTCTATAAATAGAGACCTCTTTGTACAGATTATTCATACAATTCAATAATATTTCAAATACCCTTTTCTTTCAAGTTGGTATCAGAGCTCTCGATCCTGAGGGCTCTGCTTCCGCGTCTACGAATCCTTTTATTCTTTTTCTGTCTCTTGTTGCCATTAGCCGCCACGGGAAAATTTTTCCGGGGACCTTTTGGACCGAGATCACTGTTCCTTATTCCTCATCACTTTTCCACTGTTCCTATTCCTTTCTTTCTTGTCTCTCGTAAAGCAAAGAACGCACAGAACCATTCCTACCAAAGGACGTCACGTAAAGAACGCACTGAACCACTGCTCATCGTGTTTTGGGTACTTTTCTGGTGGATTCTTCAACGCGACCAACCACAGGTAGAACCGCCATTGCCGGACGACGTCGCCCCAAAAGTCTCAGCCCGGAAGAACACCGCACGTCCTCACACGCGCCTCCTCTTCATCGGCGAGTGAAGCCCACACGCATCCAGTCTCACCGGCGCGTGGAGGTGTTTCTTGGCCGCGGACCGGTGCAGTTCTGCTCGACTCTCCAAGCCCGTTCTGGATCTGTGCTCAAATCCTTGATCGGACTTCGTTTGGTATTTTTTTTCAGTATTTTTTTGGCTTCTTGGTGCTATTCTTTGACAAGTTTTGTGCAGTATGGCCTCTTCTCAAAGGAGTTCCTTTACAAAGTTTTCTGATGGTACATCTTCTGGATCTAAGAGAGATGATCGATGGTGTTCTTATTGTAAAAGAACAGGTCATATCAAGGATATATGCTTTCGCCTCCATGGAAAGAAAACTGTCTTAGAAAAGATGGCTAGGATGCGTGGTCAACCGCATTTTACTTCCTCTAAAATAACTTCTGCATTTCGTCCAGATGAGTTGGAACGGCTCCGAACCCTCCTTGATTCTTTGAGTAAGCCATCTGATACTAGTACTTTGACTATGACTGGTATGAGCTCCAAAACTTATTCTTTCATTTCTTCATGTAATGATTTTAAAAATTCTTGGGTTGTTGATTCTGGTGCTACTGATCATATGGCTTGTTGTGCTGACTCCTTTACTTCTTATCATCCTACCATTGGAACTCATACAATAGCCGTAGCTGATGGCTCTCATACATCAGTTGCGGGTTCTGGTGACATAAACTTACAGCAGTCCTTACATCTTAAGGATGTTCTTCATGTTCCTAAACTCTCCACGAATCTTCTTTCTATTCATAAAATTACAAAAGATTTGAATTGTACTGTAACCTTCTATCCTACCCATTGTGTTTTTCAGGATCTTGCCACGGGGAAGACGATTGGTAGTGCTAAAGAGCAAGGTGGGCTGTACTATCTGGTGTCACAATCTCCTGAAAATAAAGTAATAGATCACATCTTGATGTCTCATGGTCAATCAACTGCTGATTCTTTGATTTGGCTTCATCATAAGCGCTTAGGTCATCCTCCATTTAGTTTACTCAAATCTTTATTTCCGTCATTGTTTTTGTCTAAGTCTGTTGAGTCTTTTCATTGTGATGTTTGTGAATTTGCTAAGCATCATCGTGTGTCTTTCCCTTCTAGTATTACTAAAAGTGTTGAACCTTTTGATCTTATTCATTCTGATGTTTGGGGTCCTTCTAAGGTCTCTCATTCTTCTGGAAATAAATGGTTTGTTTCTTTTATTGATGATTGCACTCGTGTAACTTGGGTTTACTTAATGCGTGAAAAGTCTGAGGTACCACAACTGTTCTTTCAATTTTATAAAATGATTGAGACTCAATTTTGTAAAAAAATCAAAAGACTAAGGACAGATAATGGTACTGAATATGTCAATCACTCTTTTTCCCAATTTATACAAAATCAAGGTATGATTCATGAACTTACTTGTGTAGACACCCCTCAACAAAATGGGGTTGCTGAAAGGAAAAATCGCCACCTTCTTGAAGTTGCTCGTGCCTTACTGTTTCAAACACATGTACCCAAATGCTATTGGGGAGATGTCATTCTTACTGCAGCGTTCTTGATCAATCGTCTACCCACTCGGGTTCTCGATCATGTAAGTCCTATTCACTCCATGACTTCCTTTTTTCCTTCTGTTCCAACTTTGCAAAGTCTTCCTCCTCGAGTGTTTGGGTGTGTTGTCTTTGTTCATATTCATAAACAGCATCGCAGTAAGTTGGATCCTAGGGCTCTTAAATGTGTCTTCCTTGGATATGCTCCTGATAAGAAAGGCTACAAGTGCTATCACCTTGGAAGTCGAAAATTTTTTGTTTCTATGGATGTTATATTTCAGGAATCTGAGTCCTTTTTCCAAGGTCCTCATCTTCAGGGGGAGAATAATTCACCAGAAGACTCATCGCCTTCCTTCTTCGAATTAGAATCTTCAGTGTCTACTCCTTCACCTGTGTCAATGTATCCTCCTCTTGGTCCTGCTCCTCCTGTGTCTGATCCTCCTGTGAGTAATCCTCCTGTGACTGATTCTCATGTGATTGATACATTAAGTACACCAGAGATACGGAAGATTATAACACCTGAGTTGGTATATCAAAGAAGGAAACAACCCACATTGCCTCAGCAGCAACCTCAATCGTCTGAACCACTGGTAAGTCCTGAATCTCATATTTCTGATCATGATGTTAATACTTCTGATGACTTACCCATTACTACTGATTCTGATGATTTACCCATTGCTCTTAGAAAAGGAAAAAGAGCTTGTCCCAAGAAATCTTGTCCCTCCTGTCCCTCTTGTACTCAATACCCTATCTCCCATTTTATTTCCTCTGCTAATCTTTCTGTGCAGCACAAAAGCTTTGTTTCAGCACTAGACTCTATTGCAATCCCAAAATCAGTACATGAAGCCTTCAAGATGGGAATTGGGCTCAAGCCATGCAAGAGGAAATGAATGCGTTGGAGAAAAATAAAACATGGGAGGTTATTGATAGACCTAATGGAAAGAAAGCAGTAGGGTGCAGATGGGTTTATGCCCTGAAATATAATTCTGATGGAACTCTTGAGAGATACAAGGCTCGATTAGTTGCCAAAAGTTACACTCAATCCTATGGCATTGATTATGAAGAAACATTTGCTCCAGTTGCAAAGATGAATACGGTGAGAGTCTTGTTATCCCTTGCTGCCCATTACAATTGGGATATAAATCAATTTGATGTGAAAAATGCTTTCCTCAATGGTGAGTTAGAAGAAGAAGTCTACATGGAAATCCCGCCTGGTTTTGATTCTGTGAAGGGAGAAAATAAAGTTTGTAGATTAAAAAAGGCCTTGTATGGATTGAAGCAGTCACCTCGTGCCTGGTTTGGAAGGTTTACTAAGGTTATGATGACCTTAGGATACAGACAGAGTCAAGGAGATCACACTCTTTTCTTCAAGTACTCCCATAATGGGAAGCTTACTGTGCTCCTTGTATATGTTGATGATATTATTATCACAGGTGATGATTTTGTGGAGAAACAGATTCTGCAAACTCGGCTTGCCTCTGAGTTTGAAGTCAAAGACCTTGGGAAACTGAGATATTTCCTAGGGATAGAAGTAGCTCATTCAAGGAAAGGAATTTTTATTAGCCAGAGGAAATATGTTCTTGATCTTCTCAAAGAAGCAGGAAAGCTCGGGTGTAAACCCTCTAATACTCCTATTGATCAGAATCACAAGATAGGCTATGAAGAAGAGAGTCCTCCAGTTGATAAAGGACAATATCAACGGCTAGTTGGGAAATTGATATATCTGGCTCATACTAGACCAGACCTAGCTTATGCTGTTAGTGTTGTCAGTCAGTTTATGCACGATTCAAAGGAGAAACATATGCAGGCAGTAGAGAGAATTCTGCAGTATCTTAAAGCTACTCCTGGTAAAGGATTGTTATTCCGACGTGATGGCAATCTCTCTTTAGAAGTTTACACTGATGCTGATTATGCTGGATCCGTGACTGACCGTCGTTCTACCACTGGTTACTGCATGTTTTTTTGCGGTAACTTGGTGACATGGAGAAGTAAGAAACAAGATGTGGTCGCCAGATCAAGTGCAGAAGCTGAATTTCGAGCTATGGCTCAAGGCATTTGTGAGTTACTGTGGCTGAAAATTATACTTGATGATCTCAAAATAAAATGTGAGGGACCTATGAAGCTGCTATGTGACAATAAGTACGCTATTTGTATAGCTCATAATTCGGTTCAACATGATCGGACTAAACATATTGAGGTCGACCGTCATTTCATCAAAGAGAAACTTGATAGCGGGTTGGTTACCACTCCATACATTCCCACTGGACGTCAATTAGCTGATCTATTGACAAAGGGACTTCCTTCAGACAGATTTCAAGAACTTACTAGCAAGCTGGGAATGATAAATATCTATTCCTCAGCTTGAGGGGAGTGTTGTAAATATTTGTTATTTTATTATTATTAGTATTTGTTGTATTGGGCCAAGCCCATTAGGTCAAGTATTAGGTCAAGTATTGGGTTTTCATTCTCTATAAATAGATACCTCTTTGTACAGATTATTCATACAATTCAATAATATTTCAAATACCCTTTTCTTTCAAGTCTCACTAAGAACTCAACTTATCATAAATTTGAAGTTCCTCAAATATTAAGTTAATGATGTGTGACAGATCTACACTTTAACTTTGTGTTGTTGCATGTTTCAATTTCTGGTGTGTGTTTCATGAAACTGAATATTGTTGAAGTGATTTCTCTAATACAAATTATCCCCTCTCCATTTGGGAGATTTTCAAAGAGTATCTACATGGTAGACCATTCTCAACCAAAAAATTTGGTCCTTTAGGTTGTAGACCCATCATTTATACATTATCTTTTCTAGTTCAAAAGGAGGTCCAAAGATCCTGGTAAAAGGAGAGGGATTGTAAGCTAATGTACAAGCAAAGAAGCCTGGTATTTGATCCCGAGATCATGCAGTTTCCAAAGGGAGCTAATATTATTTTAGCTACAGCTCTTGAGCTCATTAATACATTTTTTACATGTTAATTCTCACAGGTTTAGTGAAATGAAACAAAAAAGCTATATAAAGATCTTATTGTATTGATTATAAAATATGATCAAGCAGAAAAGCTGAAAAATACCTGAAGGATCTTCGACTTCGGCTGCAGAAGACAGTAATGATAATATGAGCATTTGGGATAGGATCATAAAACATAAACAAAAAAAGTATAATCATGATATTATATACCGAAGAATCTGTTAAAGCTAGCGTGCCTCCAGGCCGAAGGAGACGGAATGCTTCCTTTACTAAATTCACTATAGCTCTTGCAGGACATTCATGAAGCTGCATAAAATTAGGGAGTCCAGACATTAAAATCAACTAATTTTTTAATCAATAATACTGTTAGAGCAATCTACTTATGCGTTTATTAATTGTCATGGTGGGGAACAAGATTCAGAAAATGTCATCACTCAGCTGCATGTTGGTTAGGACTTGTGAGTTGCAAGAAAAGTAGCACCTAGAGTTTGTTATTTCAATTGCATGACACCTTTCCTGGGATATAGATAAATCCAAAACATCTTTGAAAGACTCCACACACTTGAGAAGCAAAATACATATTTGCAAATTGCTATGCTCAATAAATGGAAAAAATATTAGTCTGTAGTAGATAGAATTTAGTGCTTCAATTATACGAATCTTCAAAATCCATATGCCTTGAGGCCTTTAATTGCAGTCATCATATCATATATCAAGACATTCTGTTCACAACAGTGCAGACGGACTTTTATATTCTCTGTTTTTGATGACTAATTAACATAAAATGTATATAGAAAAATAACACATTCTCTGAAATTTTAATGGAGGACTAAATTGTTAGATATGTTCAAGTGTGAGTAGTGGTGAAGTACCACATTGATTAGAAATAAATCAAGTGAAGACAATATAAGTGCAAAAAAACCTATAGACCTACAGCCTTAAGGTTTTGCGTTAAGATGTGGTGTCAGTCCACTTATCATGATTTGTCATTCCACCTATTGGTGGAGGTATCCCTTGCAAATGGTTTTGGGTTCCCCCCATTAACATTCTCAACATAAAAAAAGCAAAAAAGGCATACCACAAAAGCAATAGACACAAGATCGAATGATTTAGAAGGCAAGCCTGTCTCTTCCCCATTTGCATGTATCCATCTAATAGGAAATTTTCTAGGCGTTCCTCTCTTTTCCTTTTGCTGAGCCACAGCCAGAAAATACGGTGACAGATCTAGCCCCTGGAACAAAAATATCAATCACAAGCACATCCATGCCAAGCAAAACACTTCTTTTATTCTTGGTAAATTCAAGTTGACCAAGTATGATTTTATATTGTGTTGACTCTCCAATCTCCATCATTACATAGTGTTGATCCATTAAAAACTCACTCACGGTGACTTTGGCTGTAGGGAACTTGTCTGCAAGATATCTTGTGCTTACACCTACAGAGCATCCAATATCTAGAATGTCACCAATCATGGATGTTTCTGAATACTGTATATGGTGTTGATCAATTGCATGAAGCCAATTGCCATGCAGTATCTGGTTTGCTTCGTCTACTGAAGAAGCATTTGGAACTGCTCGTCTCGCCATTGACATCGTAGCAGCCTCTGCTTCAGCTGCTGCCTATCATCATAGAACACAGATTTTACAATAATTTTCTTTGAGATTTCAGCAAGGCGATCAACAACAAATATTAATAAATTTCCATCCACAAGATAGTTTGTTTAACTCAATAGCAAGTCAAGGAGGTACCTAGGATTTAAAACAAATGCTAAAGGAAAAAAAAAAAAAACCACACAACACATGGGAAAAACTCATAATTTTGTCAATAGAATGCAAGAACAGATACAAATGTTCACAAGCAAGCCACTGAAGTTATCCATCTGCAAATAAGACAGACACACATAATAGACACATGCTTTAACCAAAGCATATTATCAAGGTGCAAAAGGTCCAGTCAAAATAAAAAGTTTCAACAAACATTTGTCAGCTATATCTGTTACCGTCCATTTTTGGGATGGATGCCAGGTCAGAAGGCTCATAGTATATTTACAAGTATGTGAAGTTCAGAATTACTACCACTGACCAGCCATGTAAGATTGCCCTCGTCATATGCATGGAATGGATTCAAATAATCTGTAAAATGAATTAGCAGTCACTTCATAACTACACTGGGACATGCAAAAGTAAAAACCAAAAATGAGAATAAGGGCAACACTAAAAACTTAAAAAGTCAGAGAAAATTACAATCTGGGTATACTAAAGAGTGGTTCTGAATGCTGTCCATCTCCTTGTACACGTCTGACTCTAAAATCTCCTTCGCCATTTCCCTCCAAGGTATGTTGTTCTTCTCAGCTGTGCTGTGCACTCACATCCAAAAACCACATTCACTTTCCAATAAATACATAATTAGAACAACTTAATTTCATCACACATGACTATAATATGAGTTCAACACAACACAACACCACAACAACAAAAGTCCTTTCCAACTAGATATGGTTCGCTGCTTGCATCAAACCAGACCATTGTGATGTGTCAAAAACAAACACTACACAACAATTATGGCAACCTAGTACTATAAAGCTCCCACTCTGCAGGTCCATATAATATATCGTAGATAGTAAATAAATTCTCAAAGTTATGTGAAAAATCTCAAGTCATTTATTGACGACCCACTGGATACATTAGCTTAGCACCCTCCGGATACATTAGCATGGGATAACACCACAAGATTCTAATCCTATTGTGTTGGCCTTCGGGATCAGAGTAATGATTAACAGGAACAATCGGAGCATTCTTATTTCATAGTTATAGATGAAATTCTTGGATTTATGAAAAACAAACAATTGCGAAAGCATTTGCCATTTTTCTTTATAATTTTGCAAACTTTGTCGTTAAAATTTTGGAGCAGCCGTAAGTTTTCTCTCACCGGAAGGTTACTGGTTCAAATTTGAAAAATCGCATCTTTACAAAAATACAAATACAATAATGCGTACAATCAACTGTATTCCCTACCCTCACAAAGTTAAGGAGTCTAAGTGCACCCAGGTTCACTTTCTTTCTTCTTTATCATTAAAATTAACGAAAAACTACTTTCATGCTACATGTAATAAATTTCTCAGCTATACACCCTTCGACAATTGTGCCTTCTTTTTTTATCTTTATTTTTTAAGTGGTGGAACCCACAAATTTGTCTCTATGACATGAGATAATTTATCTTCTTTAACATCAGATTAATAAAACCCTTAAAATTATGACCATTGTTATGTTAAAAATTGAGACACGAGAAACTCCATTCCCATAATAGATAACCTTATATGCGTTTCTAATTTTCTACTGTAAAAGCAAAGAGTTACAAAGTGGGGGAGGCATTGATTGACTCCACCTTATTAAAACCTGTCTAGCGCCAAACTTGAGGACAGAGTATAATGGCTTGAATGAGATAAGAGCTCCAACCAAACGAGAAAGTGGGGTCTCTCCAGTCCACTTGGGTCGCACCAGCCCTCCTTCTTCATAACCATAACTACCTACTTGACCACCAGCCACGGCGCTGGTTGTGTCGGACGCCGCCGCCGCGTGAACCGGCCTATTCCTCCCTCTTGCGGTGGTGACTTTGCCATGGGCAGAGATTACTGCAGAGAGGTTCTGAAGTGGGGACCACAGAGCCATTCCGTTGTCGTGTGCAAATGGAACAAACAACCGTTGCAACCTCATGACATCCTAGTACATCGCCATGCAATCTCATTCACCTATAGTGTCTCGCCACGTGGAATTTCAACAAATAAAATACAATATATTCTGCTATCTTCTTCTTCTTTTCTTAAAATTAAAGTTTTTTATATTATAAAAAATAATTTTATCTTTATATATATATATATATATAAACAGTTCATTTTTTCTGCAGTTACTGCAGATTTATCTGCAATAAGTCCAATACGATGTCGTTTTGAAACAGAAATCATAGTGTTTTTGTAATTTTAATTTATTTTAAGGTTATAATAGTCTTTATATTTATAATTTTTTAAGATTTCAATACCAAAACAACGTCGTTTTGGAAATAATTGTAGATAACTTATCTGCATATTAACTGCAGAAATATTTTTCTCATATATAAAAGTATATAGGATTACTTTGCATTTAATAATTTCATATTTAATACTTTAAACATCTTTCTAAACATAAAGATTTGGAAGGAAAGGGAAAAAAAGGTTGATATTTTTTTTAAAATGGTAAGAATTATAAGATAGTTATAATAAATACATAATTAAAAGGTTTTGTAACAATTTTTTTATTTTTTATTTTGAAATGTTAAATAAGAGAATATTTATTGAAAATGAAAATTAATTTTCTCTTCCCTTTCAAAATAAAAGAATATCGAGGTCAAATTACTAAGTATTTTCAAAATAACAGCTTGCAATTGTTTGCTTTATATTGCTTAAATGAAGATAATGCATAACAAAAGATACTCTTCTATAAACAAGATAGAATATCATAGAAGACTCCATTTTGTCTTTGACCAAAGGGTTAAAAGATGCTATGATCAGTTATGAACCAATCAATCAAAGCAGCTAAATATTTGTACAACCCAGATATGACGCAAGTTATATTTTCACATGATTTGTCTTGAAAAAAAAAGTACATATTCAAATTACAAAGAGTGGAAGCTCAACATTTCAGTATGTACACAAGAGTTTACATGGTACATGAAATTACTACTAGCATTGATTCACTGATCACTCACTTCCTCATAACATTCAAACATGCTATTAATATGAAGATTCTTACAACAAATCTTCTAAAGATGACGAACTGAATATAGAAATCCTCCTTCTTTTTCTGGTTCCTAAGATGTCCTGTGAAACAGAAAATCTACTGAGTACAGACCTAAGAGCTTGATGAACAGAGCCAGCAAGAAACTGACGGGATACAGCATCTTCAAAGTTCTGTTCTTTGCAGCTAATTATCACAAATACATTCTTCATTCTGCCTCCAAGGGTTGCAATATCTGCCCTCATTATCATTAGATGAAGAGCATCTAGTTCTTGTCTTATATTTGACAATAACCCGGGTTTATATTCACAACATAGAGATGCTCTAATTGAATAAGGAAAACCATTCAATCCACCCTCGTGTTCTTCAACACTTATTTCATCATTGTCCTTTGGTATCACCAAACCTTCACAAGATTGTGCTGCATTCATTTTCAGCTCTTTCAAATGTCTAATAACCTCACCAAGTAATGACGCTTTGTCCATCTATGTATTCGAAAGTATAAAAACGAAAATTCAGATTTTGCAAGCTAAGAATGAATTTTAACATGTTTATTTCTACCGACACAGAGCTTCATAATTCAAACTACAAGCATAACTAGGTTGGGTAGTTAATATGGCTTTACTAATGTATCCCCTAGATAAGATCATTTACCACCAACTAGCATAGTTTACACACCAAATTTTCAAGCTCCAAACACTTCTTTAGTTCATTTTGAGATGGTAAATGCAAGCAAAAGAGAACACAAATGAATTTAATTGTTCAAGAAATATCACTTCCCGTTACTGTTTTAGTGAAGATGCATGCACATACATCATACATGTTTATGTACCAAAACAATTAAATGGTGAATTGTCAAGCTATGCTTACAATTCAATAGATATATAAGCGGGGAAAGTAAAATATAGATCATTACACAACCTTTGATTTACCATTATTTTTATGGCCAATTCAACCAAATGACAAGCTTAGTTCAACAATGATCACAACTCGCTCAAATTATTCAAATACATTGATTATTTGCAAATAAAAAATGATAATAGATAGAGAAAGCATCGTGTTGAACTAACCTTCTTAGCACCTGGAATTACACTGCGAAGTGTATCAAGATGTGAATTAATCCTTGCCCTCCTCCTCCTCTCTGCCTCTTTATGGCTCTTCAAAGCTTCAATGCTTCTCTCGGTGGACACACTCTTTGGTTCCAATTTGGAAGGTGCCTTCACAAGCTCCCCTCTGTCCCTATCCAAAACCATAGATAAAGATGAACCATACCCATTTCCAATTACAGTATTGTTTACTTGAAAACCATCTGGTATTCTCTCAGGGGTATCTCCATAAATGCCAGAACCCCAATCAAAAGCTTCCATTTCCATGGCCAAAAAAGTAATAAAAAATAAAAATAAAAGCCACTGGTTCAAGAGGGAGTGCACTGTGCAGTTCAAGCAATTTCACAAATAGGTAGTGAAGTAGGAAGAGATAGGAGGAAGAACATATTTGGAGACAAGACACAGAAGACAACCTTGGAATAATGAAATGGGAGCTGTTCTGTTCATTTTCATATTGAGTTTGGAATGTGTATTTGGAATGAAAGATGGAGTGGTGACAGTGAATGAAGATGGCTAAGGAAGTGAGGGAAAAGAACCAGAGAGCACTAGGATTATGGAAATACCAAAGGTAGGAGAATGCACCCCTTCTATATAGGAGAAAATCTGGTACCAACAACTAGGATGTGCCTCTACACTCTTGTATTGGAAACTCAGTATTTGTTGGCAGAGGATTCTATGTTAAAATTGTAAGCGTAGGGATGTGAAATTTTTGTGTTTATATTTTTTTTTATTAACAAATTCAAGTTGACTTACTCTATTTAATGTATATGAAGAGATATATAGATACGAAAATTTCATATGACGTGATGATTTTGAAGATTAGTTTATTGGAACCAATCCTCGTTGGATTAGATCATATTGTATTGAATACGGGCAATATATAAAAAGAAATAGGACGATTAATTAAGTGCTGCATCCTATTATTAAGATATTATGAGCTCAGCAATTTTACATGATATCTAAGATTTCGATTTGATCTCGCTTTATCATTCTTATTGGAATCTAAACTTGATCACACCAAATACGATATGGGTTCGGCAATATATATCGAGCATAATCACACACGGTTGAAGAGTGAATTGTTGTTCTTGGTCTCGGGCCTGGAGTTGAAGTTAGATTGTATTTGTCTTTTGTTGTAGCGCGTTGGATCCAAATGGGGGGAACTTGCGAAGACACTCCGATGCTTAAGTCAGTATCAGAGGCAGGAGTTTTTATGTTATTATTATAAAGGATGATCGTACATTGGTGTTGTACCATTTGTTTATATAGTGGTTATGATGCCGCCTTAGCAAGGCGGTTTGGCTTCTTAGTAGCCAGGTTTTAGGCTGCATGTCTGTGCTAGGATCTGAGTAGCCTTATCTCCCATCATAGAGTCGCGGCAAGCTGGAGCTGTCTGCCTTTTATTGGAATAAAGGTGCGGTGGGATTGCCTTGGGCCTTAAGTTAGCTTTCTTAAGGGGGTTTTGTCCGTGATATGGGCATCGCGTCTTGTCCAGCGTGATGGGTGCGTCGCGTGCGTCGCGTCTTATGTGCTGTGTTTGTCCATCGCGCTTGCTCTGGATCCTTAAGGGGTTTGGACTTCTCCGTATGTCACTGGGCTTCTTATGGGCCTATATTTTATCCGGATCAAAACTCATGATTTTTAAGATCAATTTTCTATGATTTTGTAAAATAAAATTATCAACTAAAAAATTGTTGAAGTAACACTTGATATATATACATGTTAATCCTATATATTGTTCTATCTGAGATAGAAGTGTCAACTAAGAGAGAAATGGATTAACCTTGGATCTAGAGCCCTTTCGAGTATCTATAAAGGAGATACTTTTGAGGTGACAAATCATTGCGCACAGAGTAATAAAGTAGTCAAAGGGGTGATGTGTGTGCAGTGACGCAACAAATAATAAGAGATGGAGTTAGTCTCATACTATAGGTTTTACCTCTTATTTATAGAGTTTACCCGCGGGTAGTGGAATTTTGCACCTTTAGTGGCTTTTCTGGGGGGCCAACTTTAGGTCCGTTGTTGTCACACGAGTATTAGTATAATTTAAGGATTCTTTCCTTTATTTTTATGGGTTCCTCTTTCTATTGTCTTTCTTAGGCCTTCTAGTATATGGGTTTTCAATAAGGGCCCATAATATTGTTGGTTCCACCATACCCCATGGGGGAATGGTTATATGCATGATGTGTTTTCATGTTTTGATGATTTAAATGCTTGTGAGCTGTTAAGTGCAAGGGCCTTATAATATGCATGTGTTGTTCCATCTAAACGGTAAGCCTAAGTATGTGGCGTCATACAAGACAGTGATTCTGTGGGTGGGTGTAAGTGGCGTCTTGCACTATTTGTAGGGTTTAAACGTACGTAAATCCTGCATTTCTCTGGCCAGTAGAATAGTTGACACACATGACATGATTATCTGTTACATTGCACTGATTTTGGAACTTATATTGTTAAACTGCTTTTAGAACTTATATTGCACATGTAAGTGAGCTTGGGGTGGAGAAATCCTTGAAGACCCCTTGCCTTACTGAGATTTCTGTTTAGAGATCTCACTACACGTTTGGGGCGCTTATTTCAGGTTCAGGTAACCTAAGGGTTTAGACCTCTAGCGACAGGAGGTCGGAGCTGAGTTAGATATTGCTGCTTATTCTGTTATGATTGGATGTTGGCATATTTTCTGCTATCTTTATGATTATGTTGTTATTGTTGAGACTCTGTTGGGCTTGTTGTCTTATTTGGTGAGCATGAGAGTTGTCCATGCCACATTGATTGACTATGTCTTATTTTGTATTTGAGTTGTATAAACTATCAGGATCGGTCAGGTCTACGTGTTGTAGTTCTGTGACTAGAGAACCATTTTCAGTTATTTAATTAATGAGGTATTTCAGTTAGTTGTTTAATTGCAATTTACATACAGGCAATGTTTTGAAAAGGAACTAAGTAATCAACTTGGTTAATATTAATGACGTCATAATTGAACAAAAAAAGATATTTTGCATTTTTAATTTAGCGTGGCTTAATACGATGACATGTTAACAAACCGGGTATACACGGGGTGTTACATTTTATGGTATCAGAGCACTTTCTAGAGAAAAGCCTGTATGTATTGCAATAACTTAGGATGTGTTGTTGTGTGTCTTGTCTTGTGTGTTTTCTCTTTCGAGTTTTGCTATGATGATGCATGTGTGACCACATTGTGTGGGCCTGATCAACTCACTCTTTGTGTAACTGGTGCAGAGTCATGGTAATGCCAAGGAGAAACCGTGAGACGACTGAGGGTCAACCCGACCCAGTCCTGACTACATTAGCTGAGATGTAGGCGGCTAGACTAGCCGATCAGGAGGCCGCTAGATCGGCCAACCTGGCGATGATGGACGCCGTTTGAGAGGCGAACCGGAAAGCCACAGAAGATGTATTGGAGGCGAATCGACTTGCGTATATGACCATGGTACGGGTCGTACTAGAGGAGATGAGAATTGGTTGTCATCACGGCCAACATCCTCCGCTGCCACCACCTCCATCCTCACATTAGTGTGGGAGTGGAGTTAGAGGGATGCTTGTTGGAAATGAATCCTCGCTGCTTAAGTGCATCCCGTGTGGAAAGACTCATGAGGGTACTTGCTGGCAAGGACAAAAAGTTTGTTTCACATGTGGCAAGCCAGGTCACCTTATCAAGAGGCGCGTTTCCAACACGGAGCGAGCTGCAGGTATACAAAATGTCTCAGTATGTCGCATAGAAAGGATAGCTGAATCGACATCTAAGAACTTCGAGAAGATTCGTGTGGACCACGAGGCAAAGAAAGTCAAAGAATCTGAGGCCAAGGGAAACAGTGGTTCCACTTCCTGGAGGGACAGGAAGTTTGGAGGCAAAGGTAAAGGGGAGCAGCTACAGGTCAAACAACTGTGCAACAAATTTAAGAGGTCTACTACTCTGGCAGACAACTTTGCTAGACCTTTGATTTTCCCGAAGTGTATAGGTTGCGGAAAGGAACATTTGGGACGATGTACTACTGGAGAGTTGCTATGTTACAAATGTGGGAAGAGTGGCCATATAGCCAAAGATTGTTATACTTTGGTTGCTAGGGCTGCAACAGTTCAGACGGCCTCTCTTCAGATGTTTCCTGCACCACCAGAGACTAACTGAGTTTATACGTCGAATAGTCAGCAGACGGACCGAGCTCCGCACCTCGCGAGAGGTATAATTCACGTTGGAATATTGTGGTGATGTATTGATTGACTTATGGATGGCGCACTTATTTTGCGAGTCCGACTGTTGTGGGGCTGAACTGGCCCATAATTGAGCTTCCTCTGTTTCTGAGGGTTATTACCACTACGGAAGAGAAATGCGATACTTCATCTACTTATTTGGATATGGTATTTTAGTTGGATGGCCGAGACTGCGTAGCAAGTCTTAAGTGTCTACCCATGGTCAATCGTGGGATCATTTGGGTATAGACAGGCTGTTGAGAAATTGTGTGTTGGATTGCTGTGATTGCATAATTAATGTATGAATTGTGTTTAAACATTGAATGTTGTATTGAAGTGTTTGATAATATAACCTGAGGAACTAGGTTGATTGAGTGGGTTAATGGCCATCAGTGTAATATGGACTATCCCTGAAGGGGATGTATCCGAAGAGGGTGCCTCTGAGGAGTTTGATTGGATGCTCAGTTGATGTGTAATTCATTGAGTGGTCCTTGTGTACAAGGTACACTGGTGACTGGTATGGCTACTAGTTCCTTGGCCGATAACCTATGTCATGGGTTTCCCTTTTTGAGAATTGGATCCTAAGAGTGTTGACTCTTGGGAGTTCCATGAGGGCACCCGTTGAGTTTGACTCATCGGGTGGTCCGGGTGCACGAGATGCATAGATCAATCAATTTTAGTTGCCTCATGGTATAATAATGCATTATGAGACTTGAAATATGAGTTTAAACTCTAAAACCACGAAGTGGTGGGGTGAGTAAAATATATCAAGAGTGATATGCCAAGTTTGGCAGGAAAGGTATGATTCCTTATGCCATTACATGTCGTGATGGTGCTTTATTTAAAAAAACGTAAGAGGAGATATCTTATTGCTGGTGAGTGAGGAACACTCTCTAGTCAGGTTGTTGAGAATGGGAAATTCTCTCTTAGGAGTTAAGTGTGTAACACTTAGACTTGGTGGCAAGGCCACACGTGATCTGTCATATGCGAGGCAAGTGTATGTACAATTAGTTTTGTGGGTCGAGTGGTCTCCATGACTCTAGGTTAATATGTAAATTATTGTTATTTTCACATGTAGTTGGCATGTTAACACCATGGATAGTGCTAAACATGAAGTCAGTACGATAAATTGTGGTAATATATCAATATTATTTCACCTATAGTTGACCCTCAATTTTGCAGATGCCATGGAGATTGAGGTATACTGTTGCATAGACTATTTTATGTACTATGTTATTAGAATTGAAATTTTTTGCAGGTGTACATGAACTAAGGTACGCTACTATGTAAATTAGTATATTAATCAACATGTATTGATTGAAATGAACATGATTATGATTTTGTACTGTGAAAAGATTGCAATTTTATTTTGAGAGTAATGATTTATAGAAATTGTAAGTCGAGACTAGATTAGAGTCATGGAATAGGACCTAAACTCACCCAAGTTGTTGTGAGGAGATTGAGTTATCTTGTGTCGCCTCCGGAAAGGGGCTGGGTTGTATGTTGATGCAGCTGGGCAAAGTGATTGCTTTTACTTGATGCAGTTGAAGTCTCATGAGGAGAACTACCCGACTCATGATTTGGAGTTAGCTGCGATTGTTTTTGCTTTTTAGATTTGGAGGCATTATCTGTTTGGTATGCAGTTTGCTGTGTTCAGTGACCATAAGAGTTTGAAGTACTTGTTTGATCAGAATGAGCTGAACATGAGACAAAGGAGATGGATGGAGTTTATGAAGGACTACGACTTTGAGTTGAGGTATCATCCTGGAAAGGCCAATGTGGTAGCTGATGCTCTGAGTTGGAAATTCGTGAGTCTATCCAGTTTGATGATAGGTGACTTTGATGTTATGGAGAAGTTTTGAGATCTGATGGTGACTTCCTTGTTTGGGGGTCACTTCTCGAGATGGAGACCATGAGAGTCAAGAATGAGCTAATGGAGAATATCCAAGATGCGCAAGTGCAGAGAGAGTGCCTGGACTACGTGAAGAACCAAGACGGTGTGTCTTGGAATGAGGATGGACTTTTGTTGTTCCAGAAACGGATTGTGATTCCTCAAGGTCCTTTGACCGAAGAGGTGATGGCAGAGGCTCATAAAGGCCAGTTTACTGTCCATCCTGGTGCGACAAAGATGTATCAAGACTTGAAGAGAAATCTCTGGTGGCCAGGCATGAAGAAGGACATTGTTGTCTTTGTGTCCAAGTGTTTGATTTGCCAGAAGGTGAAGATAGAACACCAGAAGCCGTCTGGTAAGCTTCAACCTCGTGAGATTCCGCAGTGGAAATGGGAGAGCATTTCCATGGACTTCGTGATGGATTTGCCTAAGACTCAGGCTGGTTGTGACTCTTTATGGGTCATTGTGGATAGATTGTCTAGTCTGGCCACTTTCTTCCGGTGAAGGTAAGCTTCACTTCAGAGCGGTTGGCCAAACCGTATGTTCGCGAGATTATGCGGCTTCACGGGGTGCCCGAGAGTATCATCAGTGATAGGGGCCTGAAGTTCACATCTCGGTTCTGGGAGGCGCTGCAGGAAGCTTTTGGTAATCAGTTGAGATTGAGTACATCCTATCACCCTCAGACTGACGGACAGACTAAGCGGACCATCCAAACCTTGGAGGATATGTTGAGGGCTTGCACTTTGGAGCAATGTTCAACATGGGATAGGTACCTGCCATTGGTTGAGTTTACGTACAACGACAATTTCCATGCTAGCCTAGGCATGGCACCCTACGAGGCATTGTATGGTAGGGGGTGTCAGACTCCTACCTGCTGGTCTGAAGTTGGAGATAAGGAGTTGTTTGGCTTGGACTTTGTCCAAGATACTACATAGCAGATCCTTCGCACGTGGTGCAATCGGATGACGTGGAAGTTCGGGAGAACTTGAAAATTCCTGTCGGACCACTCAAGATTCTCGATCGCGGCGAGAAGAAGCTGAGGAGCAAGATCATTCCGATAGTCAAAGTGCAGTGGACAGGAAGGACTCCTGAGGAGTGTACTTGGGAGCGAGAGGACGAGCTTCTCCGGCGATACCCCGACTTCCGAGACAGGTATGTTTCTGATTTTGAGGACAAAATCCTAAAAAGGTGGGGTGAATGTAAGAACCCGCACCGTTAATTAAGGAATTTAATTAATTAATTATGAGATAATTTCATAATTGACCCTAATAATTATGTTAAGGCTTAAATAATTATGGTAAGTGATTAATAATGTTGAAAGTCGCTTTTCTGACGAAAAGTGCAGATACCGGTTCTGCTCCTCGGTATAAATGCGTACCGATGAAGTTTCCCAGAAAATTATAATAAGTGTGGGAATATTCCTAGAATAATATTTAAGACTGGTAAAACAAGTTTCAAGACGAAATAATGAGAACTGGTGTCAGAACTGATACTGGCTATGTAAAAGCGCGTACCAGAAAGGTGCTGCGAAAAATAAAATAAAAATATGAAAAATCTTAGAAAAATGAGTAGGTTCATAATCCTGAGTTTGGAATTAAAATACTAAGCGTAGCTATTAGCGCTAATACAGTGTGCTTAAAACTTAAATAACTATAAATGCTAAGTGGCACATGATCCTAGGTCATTTGTGAGCTCCTTCTACGTGAGATTTCTGGACTCTTGGCTGCTGAGTCTCTTCTTCACCATTTCATGACCTCCTTCTTCATAGAAACTCCAAAGAGATCACCTTTGATCATTATTTCTTCACAAAACGCCATACCTTGGGGTGTGTTAGCTTTGAGTGGTTTAAAGGTGTGTCTTTTCTGAGTTGGTGGGTCTGTGTTAGAGGGTGTTGGGGGCTGACTTGTTGGTAGATGTGGTGGGAGCCATTTCCTTGGATGTGGGAGCTTCAAGTGATGACCTTTGTGAAGAAAAGGCCAACCTTGATACCTATTTTCGTTCTTCTTGAAGTTTGTACCTTAGAAGCTGAAGTGTGAGCTCCAAGAGCACCTCCTTGCTCTATTTCAAGCTTAGGTAAGCTTCACCACCTTGAATCATGAGTTTTCCATGTTAAAAGTTGAGTCTTTGCATGTTTAATAAGATAATCAAGCAACCAACGTGTTAACTGACCTTAAAGGGTTTAAAGATACATGTTTTAACGTTCTAAAGTGTTAAAAATTGAACCTTGGGAGTGATATCTCGCGAAATACAGAAACTGCATTCTGTCGCGAAATATCTGGATAGGATATCCGAATATTGATATCCAGATATGGGGTCTTGTGATATCCGAATATGGATATTCGGATATGCATATCCGCATATGGATATCCGGATATGTTCCCGACATATATCCGGATATTCTGAGAATTCCGAGACAGTAACTGTACTGTTCTTACATAATGGCATTTTGGGTTTGTGGACCCATGATTGGTTAATGTGGACTATGTAATAATTAACCTAAGTCAGAATCTAAGTGATTAAGGGCTTATGGATTTGTGAGAAGCCTAAAGCCACGAAACGTAAGGGAAATGCGTTGTCCTAATACCATGTGCTTGTAGAGTATGAATTTTGATATGATTATTGATCCAAACAGATTGTGATTGTGTTGTCTGTGGACCTTGAGCTTGTGTTGACTTGGCTTGGATTGATTGCTTAAGAGGTAAGCTTTCGTGTCCTCGGTTTAGCTATTGTTGGTTCCACCATACCCCATGGGGGAATGGTTATATGCATGATGCGTTTTCATGTTTTGATGATTTAAATGCTTGTGAGTTGTTAAGTGCAAGGGCCTTATAATATGCATGTGTTATTCCATCTAAATGATAAGCCTGAATATGTGGCGTCATACAAGACGGTGATTCTGTGGGTGGGTGTAAGTGGCGTCTTGCACTATTTGTAGGGTTTAGACGTACGTAAATCCTGCATTTCTCTGGCCAGTAGAATAGTTGACACACATGACATGATTATCTGTTGCATTGCACTGATTTTGGAACTTATATTATTAAACTATT